TTTTACTAATTACAGTATGTCACCATGTTTTCATTCTGAGGTACAACTAGAAAAATACAGAAGAACTTTGCGGGCAGCTTCTGAACGAGACGAATACTTCAACCTCCTACAACATTGGACCACGGAATGGCCAGCTCTCTGAGATTTGTAATGTCTCATTTCTTTTTGGACCCTTTGGTCCCTTTAGCATCTTTCACCTCCGCCTTTTCCTTTTCCTCTTCCTCCACCTGTGCCTGCATCTGCATAATCCTGAGAGGCTCACAAGGTGGTGTACACAAACACCATCGAGACCTACTACTTCAATAGACAAGAAAACCCATCACTTCGGTCCGGTGATACACATTAAAGTAATTGATTCAAACACAATGGTTGTTGTGGGGGGAAAGATCACAAACCCGTTTGGGGGCTCTTTCTTTCAACACAAACCCTGACCGAGAGAGACAGCCACAGTGCCACAGACCGAGTGCCAACCGAGGTTCTTTCTTTGTTCTTTCTTCTGCGTGGTCGCCTCAGTTTGGACCGATCTGCAGCCTTCCGTTGAGGAGCTGCACTATTCCCAGACATGAAGAATCTAGATCCCAAAATATCCCAAAGGAGTGACAACACCTTTCATCATCTTGGCTAGAGGGTTACTGCTGGAAGTCTCTTAGGCACAAATTTGGCTGCAAACACATGCAAAAACGGTCCCTGGCTTCTGTAAATATGCAGCGCCCTAACTACCAGTCAAATCAAAGTCAATCGACGTGTCATGTTCTTCGCATGTTCATTTGTCATGTTCATTTTCATTTGCATGTGTCCAATTTGGTCGAGGTATCGTTTGTTCAATGCCCCAGGCGCCCCGAAGGCGGCTGTGACGGAACTCAATCTCCACCATGCGCCTGTGCCCTGATGGAGTGCTGTTGGCTCTGCTCGAACGCTCCAAAGTGACAGTTAGATCATGTTAGATCTACAATAGCGTGTGTTCACAATTGAAATATCATAACATACTCTTCACTTCTCATGTTGGGGATCCTACGAGCATTGGCCCAGTTTTCTCTTGATAGTGAGATGCCATGTTTGAACCTGGTTGCACCGCCTTCCCACCAGCAAACAATTTTCAAACTCCAATATCACTTGCCCCATATTTTTCACGCCCGTGGCAAGCATGATGAACAACAACCCATGCCGCAGTATGGACGCATCGTTTTGGCTTTGGCCATAATGAATATAAAGTATAAAGGAGTGCAGTGTTTGCCTGCACACGTCTCGCCTGCAAGCTTCTTGTAAGCTAATCCCATCAAGTTTGCGTACTGATAAGATTTGTTGGCAGGTTATGGCAGGTTGCTGTATATAGGTGTTCAATCACAACGCAAGCTTTCAAAATCCGTTGCATTCTCCAGTTGTCGACTTGCACCTCATCTTTGGTGCACTTCTGTGCAACTTTTCCTGGACGGTACCGCCGTTGGGGGGTGAGTTGACTGGACCAACAAGTGCCTGCAAATACATGAAGGTGCTGGGCTGGAAAGACATCTGGAAATTAGGTTGTAGCCGCACCATCTGATTCCAAGGTCAGTGGTCGCGCATGATTGCAGTTTGGAAGCATCTGGCCAGTGGATTTCATTATCCTAGCATCCTATCAAGACCTACCTATCAAGTCAGCGTGCAAACAAGGCTTATCATGAAAGGCCTTCCGAGTCATCCCCTTGTACGAAAAAAGAACCAGCACAGGTACCAACCGCTGAAATCGCTGAAACGCGATAAAGTTAATATATAACATTAAATAACCCTGGTATGGCTAGCCCACCTTTTGGACGTCTCCCAACAAGAAGGCTGTATTTTCGTGCAAGAGCAAGAAGTAGCAATTCTACATCTCACGACTCTTGGGTCTGCTGTTTGCACGTCGATTCTAGGCCCCCAACTTGCGCGTTGTGCGCCCTCAATGCGGCGCCGGCGCTCACCGTCCTGCAACACCGTTGGGGAGGCGCTAGGGAGCTGATGTGGGAGGTCTACAGTAATAGCCCGTCACCGAGTGCAAACAACATTTAGGTTTGGTAGGCTTTATTTAGGGTTTTGTCTTTTGGGGTTCTTAGGATCGTTTAGGGTACAGAAGGCACTCTAGCCGTACGCAGTGAACAAAGTCTCCACTGCACTAAGTTCTAAGCGGCAGAATTCCAACCGCACGGAAGGACCACCTCATTCTACAGGACCTCGAAACGATTATTCCTCGCACACAAAGCTGATAATATTCGGCGTTGGTTCAAGTTTACAGTATGCTTGGAACGCCTGAATTTCTGGTTCCAGAAATACATGCATTTACTACATAGAGCATGCCTGGGGTAGGTCATGTCTGTACGGTGCGCTCTTAGGAGACAGGAGCGGTACCTCATGCAACAGGATTTGTGGGCCATGGTCCCCTTACGCTTTTCGGCACTCCAGTGCAGAATATCACAGGTAAAACTCACACACACATATGAATTGTATTGCAATGCACACCAAGTTTGCAATGCACACACCTTCACATCGTTCACGCCCAGTCTGGCCTCTGTCATCCATTCGAACTCCCAGCCATGACGGGCACAAAGTGCTCTCAAGCGTGCCTGGCACTGGTTTGCATCATAGGACAGGAGCCCCTAGTAGCTTCTTGTTCCTAGCAGTAAGGCCAGGAGCCCCTAGTCGCGTCCTTGCTCCTAGTAGCGATGCCAGTATATATACGTCACAAACCCAAGGACTTCTGATTCCATCCTCTGGATTGTATCTGAACTTGGCGTTCAAGCAACATCAACCAACCCTCATAGGATCTCGCAGGCTAGTGTCAGCACAACAGGGGCCATGGGTAGCCATTTGTCAAGACCTTTGAGCATCAAGTCGGTGAGAGAGCCGCTGGGTCGGAATCCTGTTCCCGTGGAATCAGTTTCCTGGTTTTTGGGAGACCGGAGCAAACAAGTGACAACGTAATTTGTTGCATCTCCGCGAAAATGTTCATTCACTAAACACATTAAGATCGATGCAAGTCCGATCGATGCCGCTGTGATCTTTGGCTCATCTGCCTCATCCCAATCTTCGGGTTCCACCGTAATCTTCGAGCGCTTGCCCTTGGCTTTCGTTGCCTTCGGAAAACACAGTGCCAAGCGGTCGAAGAGAGCTTCAGTCCGGGAAGAAAGAGGTGTGACCGATTTCTCCCACAATACATGGTAACTATATGTAACTATCATTGACTATCATGGTAATTACTAAGTAGTGCCAAAGCACAGTGCCAAAAACATGTTTGTTAAGTTTTCATTCCATGATTCCGCAATCTCTGTCCCGCTCGCTGCTCATGATCAACCCATGTGAGCCTTCTCGCCCCAAGATGCCATGAGCTCTTGCACCTTTGCCTGACCATAGGTGTTTGCAGGCAATGGACTTTCTTGTTGTTTGGGCCCAGCGATACTAGCAATGGGTTCATATCTGTTAATGACTAGTCAAGTCTGAATTCCGCGAGTCCCACTACGCCACTTCCTTTCAAGAAATTTGCTTGGACAGTCCTCTGCGGGAGCTTCACTTCCGCCAGGCGTGACAACCTATCATTTCGGAGGCAAACCAAGTGCAATCGTGGTTCAGCAAACTCAACATCTGGTTGAAAACTGTGCTTGGCTCCTCATTCTTACATCGCCAAGGGGGAAATCGCCTTGTTGGTTCTTCCTATAGATTGTCATAGCGTGCAAATTCTGGTCTTGAGGTTGCTTAGCTTGCACGGTGGATCTGAATTAACATTAACAGGCTCACATCTATACTGTACTCATCAAACTCACACAGCCTAATCCGCATCCTTCACTTTTTGCAACTCAGCGACTGCTAAGAAGCCATAGCGCCGTTTGGGATCGCTATCCCAGCACCAACCGCCCCGGTCGCCATCGGTGGTGAAGACAAACCTCGGAATGGGTCTTGTGACAGCCGCAACTTTAACGGTATGTTTCAATGATTTGGTTAGCAGCCCCAGCACATAGGTTTTTCACCAACTGTTCAGGCCCAGTGATGGACAGAATCTGAACAATGACGAATACCAGCATGCACCAGCTGGCTGGAGTAAGCAAGCATCGCTTTATTTTCAATCAAGGGAGATACCACAGAGATCAGCAGCCACTGGGCCGCTTGTGTGGCTTTTGTCTATACACACAGGATCAATGAATGTTACTCAGGATTCACCAGCTCTTGTTGGCCACACATGGTATTATATAACACAAAAAAAGGAACCGTCTCGGCTTCAATAGGATGCGACTCTTCAACAACATTTCGACCCAGGTCTATGCATCTGAGTGTAGAGGGCAAATGCACGATGAGTTTACGAATCCGGTTCACGTGTTTGTACCGTGGTTTGAACAATGCCAACCATGTGGTTGTCAACGGGTGATTTCTCATGGAAGCAGCTAATTGATGCTGTTCTAGTACAAAAAGAGTAAATCATGTCAAGAACTGTTAAGACTCAAGAAGTAATCTGTGCCATTCCTTGAGCAAGTGACAATCCATCTTGCATTCCGAGCTGCTGGGCTGTGTTGATGGGCATCTTGAATCTTTTCCATACATCCTTCAGCAATCACGGTGACTCGGTCACTGTGCTCTATGATTCACGGCATCTGAGAACCCTGGATGCCTGCATGCACCTACATGCCAAACATAAACAGAAACATATGTTCAGATTATCCCACTGCAGTCCTGCCCTTGACCACAGCCATTGAAGTACTGCTCAGGCTCAAAATTCGAAGGCTCGAATACAAGCATCACCTGTTTTGTCATCAAACGCTTGACATTAGAGTCAATCTGATCTGGTCAGTTGTCGGCAAAACTCTGACGAAGTGACAGCTTGAATGCTGGTTAACCAATAACATGGTTTTGTCCTTGGTACGGCCAGGGACCAAAGCATCTTGCATTAAGAAACCTGGAGCTATCACAGCCTCAAACTTCTGCATCATCTGTTCTTGACTAACGGTTACTTTCGGTTCACCTCTGACAGAATCAGCAGGATGGTCGGATCTTTGATGACATCATCCTGGCTGGCCGAACAAAGGTGAACCACGTTGCTGCATCTGATATGGACGAATTATTGTATGGATATGTATGGATAAATCCAAGGAGCCAATCATGTGTTTGTCGTGTTTCATCTGCCCTATACCTTCTCGACCAGTTTTCACAGCAACCGAGCATGTTGGATTGAAGAACCTCTTGGAGTTCTCTTTACGCAAAGGTATAAACTAATATAAGAGTATGGGTGCGCAACACGGGCCAGCAAATTCGTGGAGATCAACAAGTCCAAGTCGGTGCTCCACTGGAACACTGTTATGTGCATCATCTTGGGGCGAAAGAGTGTAACTCTGTGGAACAGTAAAGCCATCGGCTTCATGCGGCACTCATCAAACAACCACCCAAACTCATTCCTGCAGTGGAGAACAAATTCCAGGGATAAAGAGAAGAACGTGTTTAGAATTCCGCAATATCAGTTGCCCACATGACACGTTTTGAGTGGGTCCTCGGCGTCTCTCTTAGCAGAACTGCTGGGAGGGTCCAGAACGAGGTGGCAGGCGGGACGGGGTATGCAGACAAAGCAGGTTTCACAATCAAAAACAGGTGTCCCTTTCGTGAAGATGAAATCACACTGTATAAAATGGTATAAACTTACATACCTGAAATAGAACTCTTCTACAGGTGGGCAAAGATTCTACTACCCATGCCTATCACCTGAGGCGGATCGTGGATGCTACGTTCAAAGGGGGCCGCAACTGCAGCGATCACAAATTCACAGTTCAAAAACAATAAATGAACAGGTTCGAGTCCTTGAGCTGCATAAGCAGCATTCTAGCCCTTTTGAGTGACCCGATTCGCCTGTGAGACGTCCGAGAGCTTGCCACCTAGGTGACAAACGTTGGCCCAAGAACATGAACATAGGAATGTATTTTCTTGAACACAAATAAAAAACATATATATATATATAATATATAAATATACATTATACACTCTCCAACAGAACACACGCATCCTGTCCTTCGGCTCAACAGTTCAAACTTGACTCCACATCCTTTAAGGTAGAGTGCTTGTTTCAATGTGTTTCAATGTTACTGTAGATGTTAGTTGCTCAAGAACTTGACATTGCAATGTTTCAAGGGACACAATGGTTGTGGTGCAAACTTCCTTCAGATCCTTCAGCAATATACGCAGGTTGGCATCGGATCAACGGGTTTCGATGCAAACGTACAATTCTGCCCACCGTCACAGTCCAAGTTGCCCTTATTCACTGGAAGATCAAAGGTCTCGGGCAGATTCAATTGCCAACCCACCCGCGCGCCAGACTGGCAGATGGACGGATGAGCTCAAGATTGGTATGGCCATGATGGGCCATTCCTTTCTACCTACAAGAACTAGAGTCTCCTTCTCCCACTCAACTCCTCAACATTGTATGCTTGTGTCAGTTCTGGACTTCTTACACGGAACTCTCCACAATCAACATGTTTCTTGCGGAAGTGATAGGCAATGAAGGGAGAAGGGATGCCATGTGTTATTTCATGTTATTTCATGTGCAGTGGTTCCTGTTCTCTTCTTCGTGTTTCTGCCCCTAGATGTTGCGCGGGTGTGACCTTTGTCACGCCAGCACTGCCACATTATCATCCGAATGTCCATTAGCAAAACTTCTGTGGTGCAAGGTATTACTGCAAGCTCGCCGCTCCCTGAACACCCATTCTCATTTCCAAGGCAAAGTACGCCTGTTGTTTTGTGCACTTCATGACTGAGCATCATACTTTCATGCTAAATCATGCTAAGCACTCTTGCCAAATGTGTCACAAGCTGCACTTCCAGCCTGTTGCGCGGGGCCTGCCAGAGCAAACAAATCTCTGAACTCTGAAGAGCACTGACTATGGTATACTATACTATACTATGGTTGTGAACTTTGTGAAAGTGATGATGATGATGATGCATGCTGGCCCCACTGATCGGGCCACTCCGGAGTACCTGGGCCTACAATTTGCTGAATGCTGAGACAATTCGTTGAAGGGAGAAATGATAAGAATGCGCGCGCACTTAATTAACGTTGTTTGTAGGATTTCTGCTTGAGAGATGGCGCATGCCACAGCACCCAATGCAAAAGGTTGCATCTTTTAGCAGTGGCAACCTCTACTACAGTACTGTTTCCACATGTTTCCACACTTCACTTGAAACCAAACATCGACATTTCGACATCGACATCTACCTGAGGGGCTGCTGAAGCCATCGATCGTGATGACGCCGCCGTTCTCCGTGAAGCCGCTGATCTCGCTGCCCACCTCCTCCTGGCACAAAACATGCCTCCCACGGTGGAAAGAAAATCCTGAAAATCACGAACGACTTCTATGTAAGGGTGCGTATGAATGCGCGGAAATTCTTTCTTTGAGCGTATGACAGTGACAAACCTTTCAGTACAAAACTAATTACATGAAACCGAAACCCCTGTGAATGTCAATGCTAGCTGCTATGGGTCCTGTGAACTAACGCTTTAGTGAGGCAACCTTGTCTGAACATCAACATCCACAAAGCCTCTGGGCAACCCAAAGGCCTTGAGCAAATGGTTATCGCTTTGGAGAGTGGGCTTGGTGCTTGCTCATCTAGATCCAAGCGTAGGGGCATCAAAGGTCCTGTGTTGTTTGTAGAAGAAATGAAGTTGGAAGCCAGTCTTGAACATCTGGCTTTGGAAGCAGCAACTCCAAAGCGGGTCCCCAAGAATGAAGCCAATTTAATCAGCAATGTCAGCCACATTTCTTTTGATGTTCACACAACCCAAAAACACGCCCTTGTTCCTGCTCGTACTTCACCCTGCTTTGTGGCAAGAGCTGGAAGTCAAGGCCATTCACAAAGGTCAAAGAGATCTGAGATCGAAAGAAGTCGGGCAATCAATGGTGGCCTTCCTTGAATCAGTACACCAATGTTTCTCGCCTGACAAAATGTGCCATTCACTCGCAATGAGTGGATGTAGTGGGTCTTATATTCTGAACGATGCAAAGACTTTGATGTATCCCTAGATGTTCATGCATAAGCATGTTTCGGAGCACAGGCTAAGTTTAGAATGCCTACAGTTTGTGCTGGTCTCAAACTTTTTTTGATTGATACATGAGATACTGTATACATTGTATATATATAATATACATTATTTATATATATATATAGATTATACATATATTTATGTCGGGCACGCCAGCCATAGATACAAGGAGCCAAAATAGTTTTATAAAGCAAACACAATGCAAAAAAAAGCAAAAGGCAAAGCAAACAAAAAAGCAAAAAAATGTAGCTGTGCGTACGGTTTTTTTCATTTTTTTTCGCTTTATTTTCGCATGTTTTTTCGCTTTATTTTCGCTGTTTTTTCTTTTTTTTTTGCTTTTTTTTGCTAGGAGGGTACAACTTTTTTTCGCTTTTGTTTTTGCTGTACCCTCCTAGAAAAAAAAAGCGAACAAAAACACCCGAAAAAAAGCGAACTTACAGCGAAAAAAAAGTAAAAAAAAGCGACAAATACGCACAGCTACATTTTTTGCATTTGTTTTGCTTTTTTTTTGGCCTATTATTGCGCTTTGTTTTTGCTTTGTTATTTGCTTTTGTTTTGCTTTGTTTTTGCTTTTTGCTTCGTTTTTGCTTTGTTTTTGCATTGTCATTTGCTTTTATTTTGCTTTTTTAAAAATTGTTTTTCACAAAACAAACTATTTGATGGTTGGCCATGTATGGCTGCCATCGCCCAACATAAACATATATATATTATATGTATTTGTCATATTTCTACTAGAAATGTCGCAACAAATGAGACAGGTTTGTTTTGAGATGTCCTTTTCAGTGCATATTTGGCCTGGGGACTTGTTTAGGTGCGCGTGCTTGCACGTGTCTTACTCATGATTGTCATTGAATAGCAATAGAGGTTCCACTAGTCAAGAGCATCTGTCTGGGACACACTTTGGTTTCACCAAACTCACTAAACACCTTACTAGGACGCTACTAGGGGCTCCTGGCCTTACTACTAGTAACAAGAAGCTACTAGGAGCAAAGGACGCTACTGTCGTATGGGCAAGTGCTTTCTGTCGTATGCCGAATTGAGGCAACACCTTACGGTTGACGGCCCAGGTCCCGAGCATCTGTGAGTGTCAGCATCGCATTGAGCCGCTTCTGGAAGTCGTCCATGTTGTTAGCGACCTGGTGAGGCTAACGTGGAGCGACAAGCCATGATGGGCCATTATAAAAGCAACCTACAGTAATAGCGATGGCCTCCAACCTAAGAGTCATGTTCAAAACTCTGCACCTCTGAGAGGAGGGAAGCGGGATTGACACGTCGGGTGATCGATCAACGCGAAGGAACAAGGGGTCAACAGTGAACATTGCAAATAGATGCAAATAGAATAGGGTTTTGATGGGCGTTCTGCTTGGTTGTGTGGTCCAAAACAGCAGCACGCAATCTAATAGCCTTCACCTCACCTGCCAAAGAATGACAAAGAATGTGTACATTCTTTGCGTGTAGCCGCTTTATGGCCTGGCCTCCGTCATATTGCTTGGGACAGGGCCCAAGCCTTCCATCTCCATCTCTATGAATGATTCCTGCCAAGGGGGCGCCATGGCATCCACATCACAAAAGAGGGGCCATGTGCCACCTGTGCCATGTTGGGATGCCTGGGCGTCTTTCACAGCCTGCAAATTCGAGACCTGCATATCTGCGCATGCATCCTCTTTGCGATGAATCTTTCACTTTGGGACGGACCAAGGGCTCCAGGTCTCCTCCTTTGTCCATCCAGTCGTTCAACCACGTTCAACCCGCTTCTAACTCCCAAACATGTCATTCCGAATTGAGTGTGCAAAACACACACATTGGCAATTGGTGAGTGCTTGGATTTCAAGCTTTTGCAGCTAAGGCACTTCTTGCAGGAGTGCACCCACATCCAGGAACCAGCCCACCATCACGCCATCCATCTGTGCTGGGCCCTGCGGGCACCCATCAGTGGAGATCTATTTCGTGTCTCTGGATGAGTTAACGCAGCTAAAGTTTAAAGCAATAATGGATGAGATGTGGTGTACTGAGCGACACTGTATTGTCCACTTGGGGTAAAACCCACTAGGCCCATGCTGATCACACGTGCAAAGCTTTCATGTGCTTTCATACTGTAAGCTGGACCACTGGACATGTGCAACTCCACCGCTAGGCTATACAGGAGTAGTCCACCTAAAGTCTGCTGCTTGAATGATCTCCAAATAGCAAATCTACAAATGCAATTGGCATGATTGTGATGATGGTATGCTCGTCGAACCGTAGCCATAGGTTCAACCAGTCATATTTACAGGTATCGACAACATCTACATTTAAAGCTAAAAAAACAAAACACACACACACATATACCAGTGAAAGGGTTAAGATCGGGCGAAGCACCGAATTCACCAAGTTGACAGTCGGTGTCCACGGATTTGCAACAACTTTTGATTCAAGAATCGTGTGTACAAAAAACAAATTGCGGGAAAACACAATGCCTACTACTACCCACAATGCCTTGGCAATGAAACCGCTGATGCTGAAAGGGCTCAAAGGATCTGCAGGGTCCAACCTGGCGTCCAAAGCACATTGATCGACGTGTGACTTCACGCTATTAGGTGGTGACACAACCTATCTCTGAATTATCCTTGGGCATGCGTTTCTTCAAGCGGTCTTATGGAAAAAATCTTAATTGCTGCAGTAAATCTATTTAGGCATATTTAGGCTACTTCCGAAGATTTGCTTACTCGGACTATTGTCGCCGGAACAATTTAATTCCACCAGGACCAGGAGCAAAGCAATCGACCGCAACAACAGTCGAAATCACAGCAACAAATGCTGCTGAATCTGCCACCATGTTGCTTGAATCCGGCGATTTCACTGCCCGGCGTTTCACCGTCGTAGTAGTCCACCTCGGGGCACCCGTCGATGGCCGAATGTGTATGATGGTGTGAGAGCACCCCGAAATGCTTGGAAGTTCCGAAGCTCGTAGTATGTGGGGGCAGCATGGAGCCAATGATGTGTCTCTGTCTGTGTTGCAAAGAAACCACAAACCTGTAATCATCTGACGATATCACAATGCATAATTCAAATCGTGTCTTTCTTTTCCCGTACGCTGTACACGTTGTCGGCACCTTGCCTTTTTGCAACTGACTGAACATTGCTGGCTGGTTGCGACACACTTTCTCTGCTCTTCCGCTACACAGCTCGTGCAGTATCGTTCCTCGGTGGAAATGCAATCACCCGTGCCGTGGCCCATGGTCATGGAAGTAGATTGATGTCGACCGTAACATCTAAACCGAAGAATGCCCTGGCCTGCTGATGAGCGCTGGCACCAAGTTGCCCAAAATTAAAACCGGCGGAACAAAGAAACATGAAGAAACGCTCTCAATCTTACGGTGCCTGCAGCAAGTACGAGCAACTTGAAACGGTTGTTGTCGCAGAAGAGAAACCACTTGTGGTCACACCTATAATTATAAAAAAAACTTTCATTGGAAAAAACCTGTTTTCCAAATTTTGAAAAAAAGTAAAAAAACAAAGTCAAAAAAGTCAATCCCAAAAGTCAAAGTTAAAAAAAAACAAATCAGAAAATTTCAGAAAGTCAAAACAAAAGTCAATTTGCCCAGATCCAACTTTGATTGACAATTTTTCGTTTTTTTAATATTTTTCGATTTGTTTGACTCTTTTTCGACTTTTTTTTTTAAACTTTTTCGAGCTGTGGTCTATGGTTGACTTTTTTGACTTTTCTTGACTGCAGTAATCCGCCAAGGCAAGGAGCCACACTTTTGACTTTTTTTTTCGACTTTTTTTTTTTTCGAGCTGTGGTCTATGGTTGACTTTTTAAAGACTTTTTTTGACTGTTTTTTGACTTTTCAATTTGACTGTTTTTTGACTTTGACTTTTCCAGTTGACTTTTTTTTGCCCTGTTTTTTGCTTTTTTTAAATCATGGATTCTGGCCTTACCATATGAAAGCTTTTTATAAGCCTATAATATTGTAAATTGAGTTCTGATGGCTCTGGGGTCTTCCAGCAGACATCTGAATTGCTCTTGGAGGTCTGGGTAAAAAGAATACCAATTGATTGCTGAGTGGGAGCATTTTTGAGCGAACTGAGACACGTTCTGACATGAAGAAAGTCATGCTGTTTATGACCCAACCTGGCGAGTTAGTTGTGGAACCTCCTTCCTCAACTTGATCAGCATCAGGCCAGGTGGTCGAAAGTAAAATGTGTATATGAGCGACCGGCAAAACCTCCCAGCAAACTGGGTTCCACTTTGACAAGATTATCGATGTTGGTAGTTCACCATATCGTTTTACAGGGTTTGGTATAATCCTTTTTGACTTCGCACATGCGTGTGAGGGTTCTGTCACAACCACAAGCTGAGTCTAGCAGCTGCCAAAAGACACCCGGATGAGTGCCATTGTTCTTTTGAAAGCCTAGAGGATAACCAAACTCAAACAAAGAAAATGAACAGTAACAATGGAACAAGGTCTGATAGTTCAGAGTATCGTTTTTGGTAGTTCGCTATATCGTTTTACATGGTTTGGAGACACTCACATCATATAGTTCGCTATATCGTTTTACAGGGCATAGGCAACTCGATCATAAAGTGGAACCTCGAAGATCAAGCACTTACATGAACTGTTTCGCCTCTAGCTCATATATATATATATATAAGTATAATCGCCATTGCAAACTGGCAAAGCTATAGCTGGAGTTGGAGATACAAATAGGACCACTGCAATTGGCGGATGTCCTTTGGTTGAAGAACATCATGCTCTCCAAGAATCTCGACCATTGTCGGAAGACTCAATCCATTCCTCAGCGACGCCAAATGAAGGTCAAATGGAAACTTTGTGGAAACTGTCCCATACCAGTAGGCCAAGTCGTTCTGCATGACAACTAACTGCACGTCACTGCACGTCAAAATCCGTTCTGCTATCTTTGAACGAGTAGATCTAGATGAAACACCAATGAAACCACTACCGACCGAAGGTTTTGGGTCGATGGCACAGGTGAACGCACCTTCGAACACAGAGCCATTAATGCAGGGGTGCCTGGATGTGCCTGGGCAACATCCATCTATCTTGATAAGACGCTGACTACCTAGTAGCCAATAGCAATGGCCTCCAACTTAATAGCGATGGCCTCCAACCTAGTACCTCCGGTCAGGGTCTTTCAAAAAACTCGGACACTTCCGTCTGTCTGAGTCTGTCCTTTCTAATTGGCCAAAGGCTCCTTAAAACAGCCGCAGATTTCAGCTTCGTCCTTGTCCACACGTACCTTCCACCGGCCACCTTGAGCAAGCTGGCTGGCTGGGCATGGCTGGGCAGGTATCGGTATGGAGAAGTGAACTGGTACGGTGACTTTACCCGCGAGCACTCACTTCTACGCAATGAATTAACTAATTAATCAACACAAATCAATACAAATGACATAGGCGTAGGACGTAGGGAAATGCAAACCTAGCCGCTTCTTAAGTTAAACATGTCCAATGACGAATGCTGACTTTCACTGGATTCAGGTGAGACAACGAGCTGCTCGTTGCAGTCGTCATGGTTGGCTGATACATGCTGATACCATGGATCTCAACAAAGCTAACCTGTGAGTGCAACGCGGCGCGCCTTCAGAACGGCCAATGATGGTGCCATGCGCTTGTTCTTGACCTGTAGGAACCTGCAAGACAACCCAAGTAATCCGTGTAGCTTACCAGATTGCATTGTTGATGGGCAAAGTATGGCAAGGAGGATATTCTCAATCGATATTCTCAATCCACCTTTCATCTTTCAAAACATTTCAAGTTGAACTGGTAGACAAAAAGAATAGGCAGATCCCCCCACTAAGAAAATATCCAAAATCACATTGAACTCGCCGTCATCTCTACAGCATGCCGTCCTTGACGTGCACGCGTGCGCCAACGCCCACCAAAGCTTTGCTGAGGCCGCCCCCATAAACGCAAAGTGTGGTGCGGTGATCGTAGGTGCGGCACTCCTTTCGAACGGTGAGCGATGTTTGTAAAATAAAAACCCCTGGAAGAGGGCGATCCCCACTTGTTGGGGGTCTAGCTAGATACAAGTGCACACCTATTACAGCAGCAAAGGCCAAGCAAGTGTGAGATATCCTCCCCCTCTATCTCACCTATCTTTGTATGCGGCGGATATCTGAAAGGTATCTCAAACGTGAAAATACTTGAACATACATTGGAGCCTTGAACACACGCTGAAGTGGAGAAAACATCACACAACTTTGGTATCCTATCCTGCAAAAGGCAAATGCATCACAATTGCAATGCTCCTGGATCATCCTGGATCAAACGATCTCGGCTTGACGAACCAAACCGAATCCGCACTACCAAAAGCTCCTGTCCGAAATGGACCTCGATTGGACCCTCCGTATCGATGGACACCGTCTTGGTAAAGGAATGCTCCGCTGTCCTGGGCCACAGGGACATCCCGCTGTCGTCTCCGAGTTGCGCAGATGAGGAAGATCTTCCATTTCGAACATACACGCCAACATTTTGCATCACCAACACCAACCAATATCAATCCACTTTCTTTCAGAACTCGAATGCTGTTGTGTCAAACAAATTGGTTTCTAAGACTTACAAACTGTCGACTCTGTCGTTGTTCAGTAGCGTCTCCAAATCAAAAGTCTTACTGTACATAGTCTTACTATAGTCTCAACAGCTATACAACACACACCACCAATCCTCAGAGCTGTCGGACACTTTGACCACAAACCCTGACCGTTCGGCTTCGCCCGGCCGAATGTGCATCAAGTGTCTCATAGGGATGCGCCGTCTCGACGACTTTGCACTTGCTAAGGCCCATTTTATTCATCAGCCTCTCTTGTGAGACCTGACACAGCCGATCAAAGTTTGCTCACGCACATGTTCCAGTGGGGCAAGCAGCCATGTTTCCCATTGCATCATCTATGCATACCTTTTGGATTGCCTTATTAGTGAGACTCACTGTCCGGCAGATGAAGTGAAGAAGTGGAATTACGGGAGACTAAGGGACTTCTTGGACGACCCCACCTCCACTGCCGAGCTCCATGTGGCCTCGACGCCCATACCTGCAGCCACATGGAGTGAACACTGCGATCGTGCAATTTGCGCACCCATCTTTGCCCCCTCCTAAATTAAGAATTTACACACTCTATGCATCCCTACCCGATGCATTTATAAATAAATAAAAAAAATGTATATATATATATAGAGATAGATAGATAGATAGATAGATAGATAGATAGATAGATAGATAGATAGATAGATATGAAAAATCCAATATGAGCGGTGCACAGCCGCTCTTGATTGGTTTCTATCAAAATCTGGCCCAAAGAAACAATGCTTCTTGGTCTGTTGGGCAAACAACGGCCTCCGCATAGACCTTGTTGCGCCAAGTCTTTGTCGACAGGACGTGTAGTTGCTTGTTACGCAGGGACAAAACCATGCAAAAACACTGACATATCAGGTGACCCGCCCTGCCTGGATTGCTCAGTTTCTCCCATTGTGCTTCCAGCGTCGTCTTCCTGTGCCAGGCATGTTTCCCATACAGGTCAAAAGTGTGAGCTCTCCCCAAAGTGACAAGCTGTCCAGCCCGAAGTGGCAATCGCTGTCATGATCTTAGTTTCAGTGCTATTGGAGCCCATAGGGCCACTCCTGGCAACGCTTTTGTTGAAGCTGATTGTAGGGAAATCCCAAAGAACCTCACATATAGAGTTTATTTATGTATCAGTCTTTATGTGTATTTGCATGTTATAGTGATACATAGCACCAGTACTTAAGAGATCTTTCTCTATTTTCTCTTGTATTGTGATATCTCAACCTGCCAGGTGCTTGATTGGCCTTCCGGAGCGGAAGATCACTTCCTCGCCATCGACGGTGCCTGAAGCGCATCCATTTAGGGAGGGCATCATATTCTGAGACACGCGGCCGAATACAATGACATGCCATAGAGTCAACAGTATCAAATGGTCCCATATTCAAATGTGGAATTACGCGGAATCCAAACATTGAAACCAACCAAAACAGTCCCACAAACTGCGCAAGCCCTGATTATCCCTGACTCACAACGATCTCTGCTTCAAACCCGCCTCTGAGTGCTTCGATCAGCTTCGAAGCCTCATTCTCCATGCTCCCCTTCTTCAAGGCGCTCCTAGCCGATGCAAGCATTGGAGATCAAGTGCAAAGAAAGCATCATTGGCTCGACTGAAGTCCCTCCCAACACTTTCCATCCTCCCACCTTGCGACTTCCCTGTTTCGCCCGCCTGAAGTCTTCCACCGGCACATAGCCCATGATCTCTGGCGGCCTCTCCCAGCCTTCTCGGGGAGGCGACATGTCGTCCTTGTCCTTGGGCTCCTTCGGCGCGTGCGCCAAGATCTTCCTGGGCAGGACTGGAATGTCTTCGAGTTTCTTCCAATATAGATTCTTAGTTACTATACTGTAGTCATTTAATTACATCTATGTATATATGTAATATATATAATATAATATATATATATATATATATCTGAGAACCCTATTGTTGCATCAGGGTTGGCGACTCCATACCAACAAACTATCCACGGTTGGTCCTGTGATGTCCAGCGGCCCCAGTGGTGTCAAGTCTTTTGCATTCCCCATCTGCCTCTTCTAAGTGCTTGCGTGTTCCTCCAGTGGTTGGCACTGGACTATCTTGGAGCAAACAGTGATTAGCACGCGTTGTTCGACAACTGATAGAACCCATGATCTATAGATGATCTGAACCGAGTGATTCAGTTGACATAGGTCGCAGATTTTCCACTGCTCCTTCCCTCCCCTCCAAGTCCCTGAGTCCCTGTCGATTGCGTGGAGAGAGCATCGCTCTGATTTTTTGCACAACACCCCACACCAGCAAACTCTCCTGATGTTCGCCGGCATTTTCTGGGAAACACCTCCATTCACAGTCTTGGACGCATCCACATTGTTCTTCTTCCGAGCAAGTCAAACTTGATCAAACTCAAGCTTCATCATGCTTCATCTCCTGCACCGATCCTTGTGCGTTCGAGCATGTACGTATCTTCCCTGAACAAATGCAGTTCGATTCCACTGGCCGCCGATGCTTTCGCAATGAATCTATATACATTCCCATGTTTTGCGCGAGGCCTTGGTGTCGGATGATGCGCCTCTATGAAGCAATGTTCAGGGTAGCACTTCTCCCTGCTGTGCCCGCCAATTGGGAGACTGCAAATTCGAAGTCAACATCCAACTATATAGATTGGAGGCAAAGTTCGGCTTGGTGTACTCCATGTCTTGTCTGGCCTTTCCTTTCACTCGGCTCCCACAAATGGCTCTTGATGAAGCGCCAGCCCATCAAACTTCCGAGTTGTGAGAACTAATCAAGGTCTTCGTGGTCTGTGCTATCTCATGTTCGACCTCTATGACCTCTGCCAAGCTTGGCAAATGCAGCTTGCGTTGATCCAATGCCTTCTGCAGTTCCAATGCCACGTGGCCAGCTACTTGGTGAAAGTCATCACTTTGACATCGGTTTAATTCCTCTGCCTCCGCTGCGAGAGCGAGGCGAAACATCAGTGCAACAGTCTGCTGGCCAGGCTCGTAGGCCACCCCGTGCTCAAGGATAGCAGGAGTCGCCAGGTAAACCTCACCTAAAAAAGAGTTGCTTCTAAGTGGATGAATTCAAACAGGCGCATGGACGCAAACTGTGCAGCCGTCTCAAGCGATCAAAGCTCAGCATCATATGCATTGCTGTATTGGTTTTATGCATGGCAACGAGAAGAACAATATGTTTGGTCATGTTTGGCCTGAATCATCAATCATCCGAAATGCAACCTGCAGAATCATGTTGAGCCCGTTTGCTCCCCTGGATCCATGATCCGCCGAATTGGCCTTTCATAGACTCATAGACACTGGAAATTGCATTTGCATTATATACGTACACTAATATATAATATAATAATATATATAGTATATATATACACAGTATTACACAGTATGACATATATATATAATATTATTGCATTCTAATCCATTCCTTGGAGGTTTTATGATTGGCCAACTCCTGCCTTCAGCCATTGGCACCGTTACCACTGAGATGCTGCTCGTAGCATCTGCCTGCTCTCCCTCTGCCCAAACGTCGACCTCGTTCTCGCCCGCACAGCCGCCTGTCTGCGGTGCCCTGTCGGGCGTCCGCCGAGCGGCCAGGCGCAAGTGACGGCGGCCCTGTAGCGTGAGCCCCAACTGAACGAGGCCGCTCGCGCCGTCGCGATGCGATCGCATGAAGTGCCACTCGCCACACGAAGTTTGCACCTGCGCTTCCACTGCCGCAAACATACCTGGAACTCCCCAAGAATGGGAACTCGACCAGTGGACCAATATTTTATGAAGAACAATTAAGAAAATGAGTTAATTGATGAGAATTATTATGTAGTTGCTTAATATAATTCATCAGCAAAGCAACAAAGTGGCAAAAGAACAAGTCTGAAGCCTTAAAAGCTGTCTCAGCTGCCAGTCTTCAAGGCCTCCTGCACCGCTTGCGCTGTCTTGCTTCTCCCCGGCACGTCCCTCAACAGCCGCCGCATGCGGCGGCGCAAGGCCTCAGCGAAGGCTGTGCAGCAGAGCGGCGCAGGGTGCAGGGTACCAGCACGACCCAAACGTGGGACAAGGCCGTAGAAGGTCTCCAGGTGTGGCCAGGTGTGCCAATCTGCCTTCAAGAGGAACGGCTCCTTGGAGGACCTGGTCTTAGCAGGAAGTGGCTGGTTTTCAGACATCTTGTCACCGAAATCCTAGCATCTGAACACAAATTCGGTACATGTTGCAAGACGACACAACCATTGACATTAGACGACTAAGGACTTCGGACAGGAATCATCCTAGTATATAAGTATACATTACAAGGATACACTACTGTATACACTATATGATGACATCGATTGAAAATACATTACCACCTTGTTCGGAGAAATCACCACCCACCTCTCAAATCCAGCCAAAGACTTCTCCACTTCTGTCCGTAGTTCTTCCAGTAATTCCTCCTCTACCCGTCCCACCGCGAAGAAGCCTCGTGTGCCCCAGGCACCGTAAGGTGCCGGCAGCGCCCGCCAACTACGCAGTGCTTGGCGGGTGTGGCGTCGGTGAGGCCAAGCGCAGCGGCGGGCGGGGGCTGCGAGGGCGACGTGAGCGGTGCAGCGACCATGGCTGCAGCGATCGCTGAGGTGAACCATGTGACCCTCTTGGCCCGGAAGCGTCTTTCTGCGGTTTTTGGCGTCGCCCCACTAGGACCTGGTGCGAGACCTCAAATGATCTGCCTGCAAAGGAAGAACCATGAATGCTGACGAACGTTGCAACATGCTGCAAAAAAAGCAACAGTCAGTCTGGACAACCGTGTCTCTGCCAATAACGCACTGAACAAGCCAACTCCAATGCCATCTGAGTAAATTCAAACTTCAACTTTAAGGAATTGATGCTGGCAAACGGTCGGAAAGGACAATGTCCATCCGAAGGTTAACGCTCAGAGGCTCAGATGTGATTTCTCTAAGGGACGCTTGACAATTACTCAGCCTTTGCCCATCACAGAATCTTGGGATGGTTTCGGGGTTCCAAAATGTTTCTGCCCATTGATCTCCACCCATTTGTTCCGAAGTAGGCACTGGTCCTCTGTGCAGTCTGAGGCACTGGTCCTCCAGTTCCAGCTTCTCCACGTCCGCATCGGATAACTGCACGATACGCCACTCCTTCTCCTTCGCGCTGAAATAGATCGCAGCGCTTGTTCCCTTGCGAAGCACCACGCACGGCTTGAAGTGTTACAAAAGCATGGCGTCGCAGCCATTTGACATGGCTTCACCGGACCATGAAACCTCTTTGAACATCATCCTGTCCTTTGGGCACTCTGTGGCACTCTATGTGGCACTCTTGGTGTCAGATCGGCTCCTCTATGTGATCTGAAACAGGGCTGGATCACTAGGTATGACTGACTGGATCGAAAGCATTGAATTGGGAGCTCTCAAGAGGTCTCCTTCAAATGCATCTAAAATTGGATCCCACAATGACTTATCCAGCCGTTTTGCATGTTATAGCTTTGCATTGCGTGTACAGTTTTGTATCACATTTCAACCAAGATGCATTCTTGACATAGAGCGGCATACTATTCCGCGCACCAGCTCGCTGGTAGGGGCCATTGAACTCTGGCTCCAAACCATCCACACGGATTGCCCATGTGCGTTCGCTCTTTTGCTTCTCTAAGAACCTGATCCGCTTTAGTCGGAGAAACAACTCAATGATTCAATGATTGTGTAGAGATGTCAAGTTCTTGCCCACAAGATTTCATTAGCCGTTAGCCATTTGCAGCATCACTTGCAAAGAAAAAACTATTCCTCAAAGGAAAACATGCCACGCAAATCATCATAAATCATCAAGCATCTTCCTCGTCGTGTCTGCCTCTGCATCTCATGTCCCATCATTTGTTGAATTCTTGTTACTAGTAGCTTCTTGTTACTAGTAATGGCCTCCAACCTAATAGCGATGACCTCCACCTAGTAGTGTCCCCTCATGCCACCGCGAGGCTTTTTGTTGGCCACGAGTCGCTGCACGTTTCGCTTGAGACTCACTTCGCCGTGGATTTGGATCTCTTTGTAGACACGAAGTCCTCAGGCCCAACCAATCCAGAAGCCGAAGCGGAGCTAGCTTTTGCCTAGAGTATAACATTTGATTCAACCCAAGAGAGTCCCTCTAAAGACAAGAGACGTGACTAACAAGTGACAAGACTAAACTAAACACAAGACAGTCCCTCTCCTAACACCACGCGAACTTCAGGCATTTCAATATATTGCCAATTGATGCCAATTGCAATCTGTCTTTACCGAACACGTGGAAACAGGTTCGAACCAAGCAATGCAGGGGCCTATGGGGAGTAACAGTGTGGCAGCTGAGCATCGATGGGAATTTCCAAGGATTGGGCAATCGACGCGCACAACCACATCTCCACCTCCCGGCCAGCGCGAGAAGTAGCTAGGCCCACTGTGCTTGAAGTTCGGCCCGAAGTTGAAGCCTGGAAGAGGCATCTGTCGCTACTAGGCTCATGACAAGTCCACTAAGAGTGCAACAAAAGATGTTTTGGCACCGTTTGCTAATGCTTGATGCACGCAAGTTAATGATAACGATTTCGAACGTAATTGAAGTTTGAGAAACCCAGCCCATTCTACACTAAACAAGTCCCCATACCAAGCAATGCAGTCCACCAGCCGCAACCGGGCTTGAACTATGGGAGAATGTTGACTTATGGAGACATGTGCAGACCGGGTTCTGAAACAAAACGACAGGTTTAATTACGGTTCACCTTCAAATCTGACAAAATATAAAGATTAAACAACATCACATACCTACGCCCCACGTCAGCCTCGCCTGCTCGACCTCGCACCGAGAGGGCTGGGTAGAGAGAAAGGTTCTTGCGAAGATGGGACTCCTCAGCTAAGCAGGAACAATCATGAAAGGAGGAAGGAGACCGTATGTTGCCATGTCAGCAGGTCATGCGTGACGTTTTGGAGATGGAGGGCTTTGAAGAAAAAATCAAGTGCAAGGTCCTCTAATTAGGGTGGCGGCCATCGAGAGGCCATTCCTTTTAGTAACTCAAAAGAAGATGTGCTAGTTTTCCAAGGGTCGTCAAAGTCCGGCTGAGTTCGCCATTCGCCGTTCCTGAGCAGCATTGGATTTTCGGTCCCTAGTCGGAGCAAGCAAACCAACGGACCTTAAAACAGAGATGAACTCCAAAAATGTGGCATGCCAAAAGTTCGGAAGCACATTCTCGCTCTCGTGGAATGGATTGCCTACTTGCTCCTCCACATTTGTATATATTCCAATTCCCATGTTCATTATGTTCTCAGATTCTGCCGATCTTTGTGACTGCCGAGGCACGTGGCAAAGAAGATCTGTCGCCGGTCCAGGTCGACGGCCACACCCACCACCACGTCCGCCTGGGCTGGGCAGCACCAACTCCAAAACTTCAAATATTATCAAATAGGTCCATTTAGGGGAGATTTGATCTGAATGAGAGAAGACTTTAAACAACACTCACAATCAATGGTTTATGCAGTTTAAGTATTGTGATGTATTGCGAACGACAAGAGCCGACAAGTATCCATATTTCAACAAAAGGCTAGAACAAATACTGCATGTTGAGAATAACACACAATATAAAACACACAGATCACTAGTCACTAGAGATCATGAGAACACACAACAACCAATGCTGACACTCATGACTGTTGAGCAAAACTTGTTGACCTTCAGCAAACATGTAGAAGACCATGCTACTGGGATCTATGCCGGGTATTGTCGCCCAATGCCACCCCCACTCCCTCTGCCCGAGACTCGGTGAGACTTCCACCGTCCGAAGGCCACAAGCAGTCGAAGGGCAAGCGCTCACCTCAGCGGTTCCCAACAGTTTCTTCGGGTGGGCGGTGGTTCGGACCGAGAACGTGAAGAAGCCACTTTTGCAATTGCCCGTTCAAAGAGAAACTTTAGGTTCGTTGTTGCTTCACGAATTCCATATATCATTTCAGCTGAATCATGTCCTACCTCATGACCTGCAGCATGGGCACCTTTGTGCCACAGGATTGCATGTTGCCCATCTGCGCCCCAACCCTCATCGTCATCACCAACTCCTGTCGCAACATGAGGCAAAGTCGCCTTCTTGAGGCAATTCCACACGTCACGTGGGACCCACTGTCAGGCCCTTTAAACGTACTTGATGAAAAACACGATTCTATCCATCTTTGGAATCCACTTGAATGCTGACCAAATCACAGCTTCATGGATATGGCAGAAAACATGTTGAAAAAGAGCAAGAAACCCATACTCAAATCAATGGTATAGGTTTACGCAAGGCCATCTGAGATTATGATTGGGCCTACTGTCATCCCCCACAGGCAGGGGCAAACATTGGAGGTGATGGTGACGCCACCAACATGTTTGCACCGGGCATCTTGGTAGTGAAAGCAGCATATGTAATTTATACTCTATGCTCGGAAAATAAACAGCCACCAATAATTTGATGTGTTCTACGATATGAGTAGAGCAAGCATCTGCGTCAAAGTGACATCTGAGTTTCTAAAGAATTTACAGTAATACGAGATAGTCCTCCAGCAAAGCCGGTGGGCAGAAGTTTCAGGGAAGGAGTGTATGATTTGGTGAGTGCGTGCGTGAGTCGCTCGGCAAGTGAGGGACCGAGAGGTGAATCAAGACATGAGTGACTGACTCAAGAAATGGCCCATTTCTCAGGGTGCCACAAGCTACTTCTCATATTTAGTTTATCTTAATTTGTCCTACAAAAGTTGGCACTTTTTAATTTAGCCTTGAGCTACTTCGGGTACTATCTTTGCACGACAGAGTCGCCAGTTCTGCCGGCAGTGCAACCATAACCACACTATCAATCGCTTGACAATTCAATAACGTAATAAAGTATCGTAAAGTATTATAGATGTTAGAGGCTAGCGGCTATGGGCCGGCTATGGGCTTTAATAGAGGGAAGAATCCTGGATCAATCCAGCAAGGAATCTGACAATAAGCGTCACAAACATCAATGCCATTTCCGGACAAAGCCATTTATGAACATCGGGGTCAAAGTAAGTGTTTGATATCGTTGATGTAACCTAATTAGTGTTCTTCCCTTGCCTCAAACAAAAAACTCACAGCTGGCCCTCGCGCCTCCCAGGAAGCTGTTGTTGCGCGGTGCAGCCACGAAGTCAGTGCTCAGGACGCCCACTTGTGGAGAGGAGCAGGTAGAATAGAGCTCGACCTGCCAAATTGGGCACCCCGAACGTTGCAGTTGCCATGCACAAGCATGTCCTATTTATGTTAAACAGCTGGTGAACATTTGCAGATGGCCGCTTGGGCTCACAATATCAGCGACAACAAATGCACTGTTCTTCTCTACTACTGTAGTAGGTTACTCCAAGGCTTCGCCAAATCTCCTCGCGTTCTGGGCCTCAAAGAAGAAGCGTCCCCTCTTTTGGGCCAGGTGTGGGAAGCCAACGGTGATCCTTGGCAATCAGAAGTCTGCACAAGCGGCTTCATTATGTTTTAGGTGACTTTCATTGAAGCCGAGGTCTGCTGTAGATCTGACAGTTAGACAGAAAGTAACAAGAAACGACAAACATCATGTTCAAGAGGGAAGTGAGAATGCAAACGCACGATTGTCATCGATTGTCAGCAAAACTTCCAATTCTTCTCCTATTCCGCCAACCCAGTGGCCAGTTCTCCATGGGGTCTTCGCTCATCCCCCGCAAAAGCGTTGGATGCACCTGTGAGACCGGACGACCCGCCGAAAACATCCGAAAACGCAGCGGGCTGCCGTGGGCTAGAGGTCATGGAAGCCAATGACGAAACGGAAGCTTGGATCGATTGTGATCTGATCAATTGTATAATTGGATATAATATGGTTTTAAAACCGCACTTCCAGCAAGCACCGTAAGGTCCCAAAAATTGTTTTGAACAGTAAACATTGTTTCAACAATTGGCCACCTCGGAAACAAGGCTATGAGTGTGGCCCGATGCACCTTGAGGGTTTGTTCATGTTTGTTCTCTGTCAGTCTTGAGAACAGCAAGTGAGCTGTGCTGGAAACCTTGATAGATTGAAAGGTCGTATGGGAAGTCTTACGCTGAGACTTACGCTTTCCTTGCGCGCGCACAGTTTTAGCTTACGCGGCTGGTTTGTGGTAGAAAGGGCTTACGCCAGGCTTACGCCAGAGCACTGCACTCAAATTTCCACACCCCTCCAAGAGAAAAGCTTACGCGAAGATGAGTTCATAGCAGGATAGATACACACGCACACAAGGCAGGCGACCATTTTCACGCAGCACTACTTGCAGAGTGACTAGATGATATGCTTGATGAGGACGATGTGGATTCTGCATCAAACACCTGGTCAGACTTCATGGCCTCACTCTGGCGCTTGCGCTTTCTTGCTTGCCTGCTCAAAGTCTGAGCTGGCGCCATGCGTGGGCAATTGATTAGAAATCGAAGTTGTCTTTACGCAGTGCTTACGCGGACCTTACGCCATGTCTGATCATTCCTTGGTTCATAAAAACAACTTGTTTTCATTGATTGGCCCTTACGCCACTGGTTATGTTGAAAAAACCTTACGCAACCTTACGCGCAGCAGACTTTTGCTTACGCCAACCCTCCTTATGACCAAGCTCTTAACAAAAATGTAAAGGGAGGTTTACGGCGCTGCTCAAGTGGCCATATCCAACAAAAACAAGGAAGAAAAGGAGCTCTGCATGCATCCACTGCTCCGCTGATCGAACACCAAGGTTTTTGCTGGCAGCTCAGATCGTCACACCCTAAATGTTGATCACGACGTCGCGGATAACCTCGCCATCAAAAAGCGCCTGGGGCATATCTTGTAAGGAGGTGTTGGACATTGCCACATCGATCAAGCTGCGCATCTCCTCAGCGGGGCGTGCGGGCACCAGCATGCTTTGTTGGGATGGGGCATGGGCCTCTTGTTGCCTTTTTAAGGGGCACAACATGTTGAAATCAACTTTTGCCGCCAAAGACTTTTCAGGAGCAATCCTGACAGCATCTGCTGCAATATGTTGTAATTCTCAATACTGAGTGATCCCTTCGAATGTCTAGGGCCATTTCCCTTCAGCGTTGCAACCTTCTCAAAAAAAACTGCGATATGGCACGAGTTTAGCTAGGAAAGGCTGATGGGTCTTTTGACATCCTTTGACCCATGGTCCTGCCTGGAACATGTGCTAGGAACAACCCTTTTACAGCGTTTGGGCCAATGCATGCTAGCCAAGCGTCATCATCGCTGTACCTAGGATGTAGTCTGCCAATGACTACCAGCAAACAAACGGTTCTGTGCATGGACCAAACCCCCAACAGCAGAAGTGCACCAAGCTATTCAAAGTTGGCTGCTTGCTTCCATCAGGGGCAACGATTGCAAATCAAGATTGAGTTGCCATGAATGATGCTTGTCCTGTAGTGAACAGGAGACTCCACCAATTAGCTCAAACGGAGGTGCAAATGATCACATCTGCAGACCCACCAAGCAAACCAAAGGGTTCCAGGAACAAATCGGTAGAGCTAGTCAGTATTTGGTACAGTTCAAGTGGCTCTTTGAGGACATGCGCATACTTGTCCAAGACGGCCAAGCGTTGGCCACTGATGCCACCCGAGTCCGTGGAGGCAAAGGTGCAGCGGAGCCGCACGTCCTTCAACACCTCACCAGTGGCACCAGATCGATGCGAACGAGGGGTCAAGTGTATATATATATATATACAGGTCCATATAATGTGTATATATATATATATGTGTGTGTCTGTGACTATGTATATAATATATTATGAACATCTACAGTATATAATATGTACATATAAATGAAGTAGAACCCGGTGTCAATTTTCTCACTAACAGCAGGTTGGCCTTTCAACAAACAACAGCAACAGTCAATGCATGTCATCAGCTTAAGTACTAAGATACTAAGAACATGTTCTACCTGGTGGCACTGTCATTTCATATGTTCGAACCACATTCGTACTTGTCCACAAACGTCATGGCTTGCTCGGGTGGTCCAAAACCGGTAATCTGCAGGTGATCATAGAATTATATACAGTACAGTATATAATTTACTCTGCTGACACCTGACACCCAAAAACAATCAAAAACACGTGTCCCGTACAAATCCAACAAAATGCACCTTGCGAATTTGCTCAAAAAGGTCCTAAACTTTGTATTGAAAAATTATCTTCTCCAACACCCATCACCTCCCCATCCACCTGCCCATCCACCATCGTCCCAGGCACAAGGTAGGAGTCTCCATAACCATAAGCTGAGGTCACTCCTCGGAAGTCATTCATCACCCCCAAAGCCCCGTACCTGGGCACGCATCGACAAATGCTCTGTGGTCTGCGAACAAATGCAAACAAGTATCGAATCCAAGATCATGCGCAATGTTGATCAAATGTTGATCTATGCTTTTTGAGGGGAGCCGTTCAAGGTCTTTCCAGTAGGAGCTGACAATGACTCCAGCACACCAAATCCACTCACAAAGATCACACAAAGATCATCAAAGACCTATTGCAACAGCAACGTGTTTGAAGTAACGAACATGCATATGTAAGGCACAAACAACAGGTCACTCCCAAAGCGGCCCAGGGACTTACATCTCTCGAATGGCTTGGCATCCTTGGAATTGCTCTGAACATCCGTAGAGTCTGCTCTACGTCACTACGCACATCTCTCAAATGAGGCCCGGAGTTAGATTTCGATCGGTTTCAAGGGCAACTTCGCTTGATTTTGTCAAGTGTCTTCATAAGTGCCTCCAAAGAGTTCCATTTCCCACCGCTTCCGAATGGCATTCTTGCCTAAGCGCGGCACGACGAGCAAATGGATGTCTGGCAGGTTCACAAGGAAGGAAGTTCATGCAAACACTGGCAGGGCAAACAAAATGGATCAAAATGGTTTTGCTACATGGACGGACTCCTCTTCAAGGTTTGATGCTGCGAGATCTGTCGCCCACTCAGTCTTGCCAGATCCAGTACCAACCAAGAACAGGTGTAAGTGCACCCGCCAAAAGGAGCAGCAGTGAGGATGATAGAGGGACTGGCACACATGAGTTCAAAAAAGTGACAAACAAGGGTATGTAAGAGTCGTGGGTTGGAGATGGTTGGAGCCTGCTTTTGCCTGAACTGGGACACCTTTGATGCACCATCATTGCCCTCAGCTGCCTCAGCTCCCCGTTGACTTAGCCACTTATATAACCGCCCCTTCACTAGATCAGCACAAGGGTCCGTCAAGTGCACCGCTGGAGGTTCCAGTCTCAAATTGGCTCCTTCGTGGTGCTACTGTCTACAATTGTCTACATCTGCCCATTTCAACCTTCACAAGCAACTGCAATTACATGCAATGTGCACTTCGTACCATTGCACCAATACCCCATATAAATTCATATAATTTGTCGATAATATATTAGATCCACACTGCATTTACGCTGAAACTCTGTCAATCATAACACAACAGCTCAACTTCCAAGAGGTAGAATGTCGCATGCTAAAACTTGATGTTTTAGTTCCCCTGATGCCTACTGGCATGTTCAACGCATCCGTTTACAGTCAAATCTAAGGCGGCGGTGAGGTGATATGTGGTCCACGTCTTCACAATCTGCCCTTTTCACGCAACATGCGCGCGCGAGTCCTGTAGTACTCATCAGTCTCCAGAAAGGTGCCAACCCGATCGATGTGAATATGGACAACCTTAGAAAGAGATCAACATGGATATTGCAATCTTCCAAATAGAAGCTGGTCACACAACTACTCCTTAGCGAGTTGTTTTCCTTGTTCTGCAGCACATCACTTGAAACGGCTCGCACCTAGGTGATGTAAAGCAAACAAAGAACAATGCTGACCCCATAAACATCCACAAACTCATGTCGTTCGCAATAATAAAAGATTTCCCCTGAGTGGATGCATTCATGTTATGTGTCCTGCATTCCTGTGATGTCATTCTCATAGATGTCAACCTTGCCACACGTTCGGGACGTCAGGCCAGGCCATCAAAAGTTCACCCAAACCCAAAACCCTGACTCTTCAAGTTCTTGTATTCCTTTCCGATCGTGAAAGAAACAAAAAAGGACCTAAGGAAGAAATGAAGGCAGGCCGAAAGGGAGATGGCAGGGAGGGAGAAGAAGGAGAGGAGAGGAAAAAGGACGGGAAGGAAAGGAAGGAGGACGGAGAGAAAGGAGAGGAAGTTCAACTCAAAACAAACTTTGCCACCTTTTTGTGTTGCGTGTTTTGGCCAATCGCTGCATCCATCAGCAGAGGCCCCATGGGATGCTCCCACCGGGAGCCATCTCTGCGATTTCCCGCCCAGCAGCCGTGGGAGCCAAGTCTTGCACCCATCCCAAACCTCGGCCAAGGGAACCATGGGACAATGAACAACCAAGGATTGGAATTCATATGATGTCATGGTTTCAATTGGTTGCAACATCCAACTAACAATACAAACATGTTTCTCCGTGAGGGTTCTTTGATGCTGTTCGTGGTGTTTCGGGTGTCGGTGTTCAATGCAAACACATGCTAACGGCGTTTACCTGACATTTCGTCAGGGGGAACATCTTGTCTGCTTCGGGTCATGGCAACTTGCAACTTCATTGTTGGCACCACTGAAGACAGTAATTTAAATCGCTTTTAGACTCTTGTGAAATGTCGGAACAACTTTCTGGACACATCAATTCAATAGCTATCAATCGTCTTTGTGGATATTGATGTGTTCAAACAGTTGCTTACAAAAGAGTCCCAGTTGGAGTCATACCAACAGGTCGGATTGTTTGCCCCCAAGGAACATTTTTTGGGGGGGTTGGCGAATCTTCAAAACAGGTTCGGGGCTCTCATTATTCAATCTGCAACTCGTCTTCGCAGCCAACCAGGCCATCCATGATACGAAAACTACTTTACTTCGAGTGACTCCCACCCTGAGAGGCGATTTGGAAGAAGGCAAGATATTCTGACATTGGTTCTGCCATCAAAGAATGTGTCTATCTTGCACATATATCTTGGCATTCTATCTAGCAAACATTTTGGCTGGCAAACATTCTGGCACACGTTCTAGCATACATGCTGCCATTTTATTTGGCATACACGCTGGCATTCTATTTGGCATACATTAAGACAATCTATCTGGCATATATTCCGGCGTCTACTGGCATATATTCTGGCATATAGTGGCATGTAATCTGACATTCCATCTAGCATATATTCTGACATTTTATCTGGCGTAAACGATGGCATTCTATCCGGCATGCACTCTGGGCATTCTATCTGGCAGGTAATGGCATTCTACCTCGAATTTTTGGTGAAATTCTGTCTGGTGTTCATGTCTACCTGGCATTCTATTTGTCATACAATGTCATATATACTGGCATTCCATTTCCAAAATTTAATGACATTCTTTCAAGTTTTTCTGGAGTAGATTCTGGCGTTCATGTAGAAACTTTACAGACATTATTTCGTGCATTCTATCTGGACAATTCTATTCTGGCATTCTATTTGGCAAAAAAAATGGCGTTCATCTCTATCTGGCATGAACTCCTGGCACTCTATGTGGCATTCTATCTGCAATAAATTCTGGCATATACTCGGGCTTCTATTTGGATTTGTTAAATCACATTCTTTCTGGCATACGTTTTGGCGTTCGATCTGGCATAAATACTTGCAGTCTATCTGGCACAAATTCTGGCTTATAGTCTGGCAGTCTGGCATTCTATCGCTCGGACACTCTATCTGGCATAAATTATGACCTTCTATCTGCCATAAGCTCTGAGAAATTAATCTCGCAGTGGCTGGCACTCTATCTTGCATTTATGCTGGCATGCAATGTGGCACACATTCTGACATAGTTCAGCCATTCTATCTAGCATATATTCTGCGTTCTATCTTAAATTTTCTGACATTCTATCTCGAGGTCTGGGGATGCCCACTGTGATCTAGTGCTCGCAGTTGAAGCCGGCAGTGCCCACTGCGCTCTAGCACTTGCGGTTGAGGTCACGCCTACTGCGATCTGGCACTTGCGGTTGAGGACCGGGAGGCGGAGGAGGAGGCGAAGGAGGCGGGACGAGGCCGCTGTGACAAAATCTAACAACCTTCACCGAAAAACACCTCTACTCCTTTCCCACCAGCGCAGGCGCATGCAATCCACATTTGGTAGCAGGATTGTAAACGCTGAGATCTCAAAATGGGTTGAGATCACCATGTTTTTGGAGAATCAACAGAGGCGTTTCGGAGGCGGCATTGCCGCAGGTTGCCAGCAGCTTTTGGGAGGACATGGTTGGACGACGGCAGGGATTTCTGAGTTTTGTGAACGGAGAGGGCTGAAGAAGATTGTGAGAGAGAGGTTTTTTAGAGCAGCATGAACCTTGCAATCACCCCTCTTTGGCTGGCAAAGCATTCATGCTCATCACCTCACTCCACTGGTGTTCCAGGACAAATACATAAACAAGTGAACAGTATGTAACTATCTTAACTATGTTTAGCTGCTTTTTGGTCAAGACTCTTGCCCTTCAATCTTTAAGGTCGAAAAAACAAGCCCATCCAACAACTATTCTGCATACAAACACACAAAAACTTACAAAGAGACGCTCCCCAAAAGTTGTTTTTTTCATTGAAGTTCCCTGAAGTTCCTTTTAATTTTGCAAAGGATTGTCAGACAGGTGGTGGATGCCAGGTGGCAGGCTTGCAGCTCCCGCTCGGAGTGGCCCAAGTTCTCGAAGCGCTTGCGCAGCTCTGGCATCGCAGCCTGGCACATGGAGCTGCATAGAGTGGCAGCAGTTTCGTCTGAAGGAACATTTCTTCAACGGGACACATGAAACGGCAAAAAGAACAGAGTCTGCATTCGAATCGAACAGCTTTCTACCGAAGTCAAAAAAACAGTCTCGCGCCTCGTGGCTCGCAGTGGCATTCGCGCGGACGTGGTAGAGAGCCGCACGCTGGCAAGGCACCAATTTCTCCTTGGTCCAAAAGTGCAAAAGGGCATAAAACTTCCTAGCGCAGGCAACACTTACTTCAAAGACAACTCACCTGATCCTATATGTTTTTTGTCTGTGCTGCACATGGTTCTTGCTATGCTTTGTTTTCAGGGGGCCAATGTATTCACATTGATTTGTCAGAAAGTCTGACCCCCAGCAACACAGCCAAGTTGTCCTTGTAATCAACCCATACCTATGCCATCCCATACCCCAAACAGACCTTCTTGGGCCTTGTCCCGTTTGAGGTGCCAAGGCTCCACCGCACGCATCTCAGACTCCGGGAAAATCGCTGCCCAGAAGGCCTCATGGATCGCAGCAGTGGGATCAGCGTCATTCAGGATGTCTTTCGTGTTGACCGGATCTGATATTTAGGATAATGCGACTCAACTACCTCAAGAGGTTAGGAACCCGAAACTGAACATACAGGTGTCTGGAAACCGAAACAGTTGAAATCAGCACTCGGTGCTTATAATGCATGAATCTGAAGGCTAACTTTGTGATCAAGCTGGACTCTAGGCGTGGCCTAGTGTCGGTATACTAATCTTACTTCATTGAGTGTGAGAAAAATGCGAAGCCGTTCCATCAGTAGTTCCGGGACGTTTCAGGAGAATCCTGGCACCTTCTGGCGCAGGTGTTGTTTTCCACTGCTTGTCACCGCTTGATTCATCTTGATTCCTCATACGGTATGCTGTAACAAATCTGCCCGTGTCGGTCCTGCCTGTTGCTCTTCTAAGATGCCGACCTCGGGAAAGATTGGCCACAGCGGGCAGAGAAAAATGCAACCCTCTTGGTCGACCGTGTCATGGCACTGGTGGTGCTGGTTACACTTACACTGGTCGCGGCCCGTGAAAACGTCTTTGGGAGAGCACCAGCTCCTTGGGCAAACGCATCAAACGCTCTATTGAAATCAGAAAGCTTTTCTGCAACTTCAAAACACGTTGTATACAAGAGTTCTCCGAATGGTCGAAGACGAACAATGCCTAAACTCTACTTGGAAAACTTGGGTGGTTTTATCATGTCTTCTAAATCTTCTGTGGCTTGAAATGTGGATCCTCTCTCGGCCGCCCAGCCTCCCGGAGTGCTGCAACCACATCGCTGTCTCGTGTGTCGCTGAAGATCCAACTCTGCGGAACCACCTACAGTGCCGCAGCAAATGGGTGTTCAATTAGGTATATACAGTAATTGTTTAAGGGCATAGCTTTGGGTCCTGTACAAGCAAACCTGACGAGGCCAAGGAACAAACTGTGAACAATGGCCTCCCTCACATTCCACTGGCTAAACGATGCTCCTCTACATACTACAAACAGTGCCTTTTCCACTTCCATGAATGTTTTCAACGGGTGTTGCTTTCAAGATCTCTCAAGCTATACTTAAAATAGTCCAACACCTCAGGAAAAGTTGGATTTTTTTCCCTGGGGAGTGGGGTCTAGCTGATGTTGCGAGTTCCCCGGTCTACGACTGGGATGCTCTTCAAACTCTCGGGCCCCCACTGCAAAGGCATCTGTTTAATTCTACACCAACACCGCAAAGGACCTCTTGCAAAAGCGGAGGGATGAAACATGCACCGCCGAGCCGCTTGACGGTTGCCCTTCCCGCCCTCCTCAACAAAGTCAATGAGGACCTCAGCTCGATGGCGGCGGCGCTGCCTGGACCTGTGGATCTAAGGGTTTTTAGGTTTTGGATACTTGATTGGGATAGTTGATCTTCAAGGTGTTCAAGTCTTGCAGCCACAGCCACACTTGTATAAAATGTACACACATATAATCATATGATATCATATATGTCATAGACAATAGATACACAGCATTCAATAAACTGTAGTAGATGGCTGCCGATGTCCAAGCACAACTTCCATCAAAATAATCCACTTATCCGGTCACTGGTGTCCAACAACCGACACTGCACTATGAACAAATGCGACCCACTGATACCCACTGCAACCTCCATCCCCAGAGGCTACAACAGAATTGTTTTTTGGACCAAGGGACACCATTGTTGGGCATCACCCGGAGCTCTAGAATCTGACCTTCCCGGACATTCTCAGATTTCTTCCTGAGCGGAAGATGAGGACCTTCTGGAAGAAAAAAGGAACACTGCAAACATCTGCTACATATTACATAATTTATTATGTATGTTGGGTGAGTCGACCGAGGACTACGTTCAAAAGGACAAACACACGCTGACTGCGCTGACGGTAGAACAAACATGGATAAACATCGGGCACTTCTTGATTGGAGACGAGGCTGGCAGCCGTCACCGTACGCGTGAAAGAACCTCTTTGAAAAACCAAGCAGGCAATGCGCGGGATGATTTCCAGTGGCCTGCAAATGAAGAACAACATATCCTCTTTCACATCTGATTTGCTTTCGTGTTTCCCATCCGGCGTATGGAAGTAGGAGCGCACACGAGAGCCCACTTCGAGAACGGAGGGCGCCTGGTGCGGCCAAGCCGAGGCATATGAGGCATGGGAAAAGCAACATGCGCAGGTACCAAGTAATTCCAAATAGCAATAGTCTGGAAAATATATAGATAAATATAGTTTGCTAGTAGGTTGGAGGCCATCGCAAGTAGGTTGGAGGCCATGGCTAATAGAAACATCCCCCACTGCTTAGGGGGGAGGAGGCGGGGGGGTCAACTTCTTTTAGATGGTTTACACCCTCTAAAAGTAATTTTTTTGCACGCGATGTCCCCGATCGAGAGCCGCCAAAATGAGAAACAAAACATGTCAGTCAACGTCGGACAATGGAACGAAACTAAATAAACAATATCTACTACAGTCACAACCATCACATGAATTGGCCTGGATTGACCTTTAGAAACATAGAAACATCATCCCATCAGATTCACTTCAGGCTATCCAAAGTATACCAGCCCACGCGTGTTTGTCAGAATTGACTGCTCTGCGGCTCTCTGCTCTTTTTTTGCAGTGCCACTACCCCTCGCAGGCGGCGTGTGTGCCACCATCACATTGATTGGTCTGGCGAGGGAAGGGTGCGGATCCCACGCAAGGGAAGGGCGCGGATCCCGCGCAACGGAAGGGTGCGGAACCTGCGCAAAGGACAAGCGCAGAACCCCTTCGCAAGGGAAGAGCGCGGAACCCGCGCAAGGGAAGAGCGGTACGGAGCCCGGAAAAAGGAAAAGTGCGGAGCCCGCGCAAGGGAAGAGCGCGGAACCCGCGCGAGGGGTGGGCACGGCACGGCAAGGGAAAGAAGGAAGGAAGGTCGGACGGAAGGAGGGAAGGAGGGAAGGGGCGGAACCTGCACAAGGGAATGGCACGGAATCCGCGCAAGGGAAGGCGCGGCAAGGGCAGGAAGGAACGAAGGAGGGAAGGAGGCAACAATTAGATTCTACTATGAAGTGTAAACCCCCCAACAATTAGATTCTACTATGGAAAAAATTCTGCCGCGGGCTGAAAAATCTCGAGGCGGCAGGGCTTGACTTGAGAAAAAACAGCTTGCCTTGACTAAATCCTCCGGATTCAGTCGAGGCGGGCTGAAAATCTAATTGTCAGGGGGCTTCACAAAAGAATCTAATTGTCGGGAGGTTTTGCTAAAGAATCTAATACCCTAAACCCTAATCATGATGACCGAAGTCACGGTGCTGGAGTGCGATGTGGCATAATGAATGCACGGGTTCATATCTGCATTTGGAAACGCATACCTACATCTTCCTTTGTATGTATTTTTTGGCTGTTTCGAACAAAACATAGTTGTTGGGGCAGGCGGCACAAATTTCTGTAGCGCAGCACTTTTTTGGTTTTGGATAGAATAGAGGAAATATTAAATTTGACACATCACCCAAAAGAAACACAAGAAACGAAACTGCACAAAATGGCACCAACACGGCACAAAACGGCACCGAAACAGTGCAATTTGTTTGCACGCTACTGAAAGTCGAAAGCGGCAAGCAAACCCATGAAGCGAATTTTTCCAGAAGACCAGAAATTAGTTGAGTTTCACAAAACGACAAATTTTACATACCCAGGTGTCTTAGGTATTTTATTGTCTATTGTCATTGTTAAGCCTTCTCTAGCAAGTTGTGATCTGAATTTCTTAGCTTGCAAGTCGTGGTGCGCTTCCCCTGTCAACTAAGGATTCACCTTGCAGTGGAATCACATGCACCCACAAACGATCGGGCGACATCATCCCAAATCAACCAAAACCTTGAAAACACCAAGGAAACAATTAAACTAAAAATGACATTTCTAACGGTTACCCCCCTCCCCCGATTTCTAAATCAAGGGGAGGGGGATATAGAAACAAACAAAGGAAAGGAAGAAAGGTCGACCGTCTGACCATCATCCCCCGCACCTCGACACCCCATTGCTTTCGCGCCACCCGCTGGCGGCGGTGCTCAAAAATGGCCGAGAGCCCGCCGCTGTCGCCCACAAAGTTCTTGAACCTGGAGTTTCGACAGTGGCGGAGTGGTTCTGAACTGCTAATATCTGAAGAATGTGATCCAACAAAAATCTGTTCAGTTGTGGATGGTTTTGGTAATGGGATTCGCCCCAACAAAACAATTCAAGGCTGCATCGTGATCGTGGTACCTATATTCAATCTAGCCACGCGCACAAAGAAAGGGTAAACAGCCAGCCCTTGAAATATCTGCTTTCCAATATACAAATGGACCATGCCCACGCCGCCATGCCATGTCACTGGCCCGAGTGCGGGCACCCAAGTCATCCAAGTGACTCTGCCAGCGTCACAAAGCCATCGTCGTCGACATCCATCAAACTTGCTTCCTCTTCACCCCAACCAATGTACGCGCACCTGAGATCCAGAGATCGTGGCCAGGACTACCCGCACCCATATCCATCCCACCACTCCTGCTTATCATGGTCGCCCGACCATGACTGTCTGAGTCGCGAATGGCTACAGCAAGGCACATGTTCCTAGTACCTTCTTGCTCCTAGTAGTAAGGCCAGGAGCCCCTAGTAGCGTCCTTGCTCCTAGTAGCGACGCCAGGAGCCCCTAGTAGTTTCTTGTCAGCCCCTAGCAGCTTCTTGTTCCTAGTAGCGATGCCAGGAGCCCGTAGTAGCTTCTTGTTCTTAGTAGTAAGGCCAGGAGCCCCTAGTAGCTTCTTGTTCCTAGTAGTAAGGCCAGGAGCCCCTAGTAGCTTCTTGTTAGTAGCAAGGCCAGGGGCCCCTAGTAGCTTCTTGTTCCTAGTAGTAAGGCCAG